GTCTCAGCCATCCAAAGTGCTGGGATTACAGGCGTGAACCACTGTATGTGCTATAATTAATGAACTAGTAGTGATATATTAACTAAAGTCCATGGTTTATTCAGATTTCCTTTGTTTAATCTAATGGTTTTTTGTTACAGGATCCCACCCAGGACACCAGGAATTGTATTTGCCATGTCTCCTCTTGGCTATGAGTTTCTCAGACATTTCTTGTTTCTAATGACCTTGACAGTTTTGAGAGTATTGATGCCCCTCTAATGGAATTGTCTAATTTTTTTTTTTCTAATTAAACTGGAGTTGTGTTTGAGGGAGGAAAACCATAAAAGTACAATGCCACTTTCATCAGAAGGTTACGTGCCATCAACATGATTTATCACTGAGCTCAGGTCACATGTTAACTTGGTGGCCTATGGTTAAGTTTTCAGTTTCTACTAAGGTCCAGTAGCAAACCAAAAGCTGTTTCTCAAAAGCAGAATAGTTACCCACAGACAATGACAGAGATTTGCTCCAAAATCCGAAGGATTTGTACTATGGTTTACCTATGGTTGCTTGCAAAGGATTCTAAACAGTATTTACTTAGTTATTTTTTGGGAGAAAGGATCTTTTATGTTGCCTAAGCTACAGTGCAGTGGCATGATCATAGCTCACTGTAACTTGAATTCCTGGGCTCAAACGATCCTGCCTTAGCCTTGCAAGTAGTTAGGACAGACTACAGGTGTGTACTACCATACCTGGTTAATCACATTTTTTTTTTTTAATATAGAGATAAAGTCTCCCATTTTTGCCCAGGCTGGTCTTAAACTCCTGGGCCGAAGCGATCCTCCCAACTTGGCCTCCTAAAGTGCTGGAATTACATGTGTGAGCCACTGTGCCTGGCCTCTCAACAGCATTTAAATCTGCCATTGACACTTTAAGTACCATTGGATCTGCTGGATCTTATGGCCCAAATGGCAGAGCAACTTGCCCAAGAGCCTGGACCTGTTGTAGAGCCTTCTCTTCTTCTACTAGGTATTGTGTGTTTTTTCTTTTTTTGTTTGTTTGTTTGTAGAAGGTGCCAAATGCAATATGCAATAACTTATTCTTCTGTTTACAAGTGATATCTGGGAGGCCACGGTGGCTCATGTCAGTTGTCTTGGCACTTAAGGAGGTGAGGCTATGTGTTCGAGGCCAACCCGGGCAACATAAGAACCTCTCATTCATTAAAAAAAAATAATTAAAAAAAATTTACAAGTGATATCTTGACATGTCCCATACTGGTCTCCCAGAAATTTCATGAGGTGGAGGGCCCCAGATGTTTTGTGAGACTTACTTCCTGTCTTCAGAATGCATATATTTTACCAATATGTCTAGAGTAATTGCTACTTCCTGCTCACCATGAGTAATCAGCATAATATCATCAATGTAATGGACCAGCATGAAGTTCTTTGGAAGAGGAAGACTAAATTATGACATAGGGCTGAAGGGTTGATACATTCCTGTAGTGGGACAAGAAGTTGTATAGTGGTCTTACCAGTTAATAGTAAATTCCTTCTGATGGTGTTTTTAAATAGGTATAGAGGGGAAAAAGCATTTGCTTGATTAACAGCTGCAGGCCCAGTACTAGGAGGTGTGCTGATTTGCTCAAGTAATGAAACATCTAAATGGCAGTGCAACTAGAATAACCATGAAATTAGGTTTATAAGAATCTATTGTCATTTTCCAAGATCCATTTGTGTTTTGCACATGCCAAATAGGCGAGGGGAAAAGAAATGTAGTGGGTATCACCACCTCTGCAACTTTCAAATCCTTGACAGTGGCACTAATATTTACAATCTCTCCCAGAATGTGGCATTGCTTTCAGTTTGCTACTCTCATAGGTATAAGCAGTTCTAGTGGCTTCCTTTGGCCTTTCCTATTACAATAGTCTTTAGAGGTCAGGGAACCAATGTGGGTATTCTTCCAGTTGTTGAGTACATCTCTTTTAATTATGCATTCTGGAACTGGGAAAATAGAACCACAGGATGGGTCCAGGGATTCAATGGGTCTAATGAGAGATGAACCTGAGCTGAAACTCCATGGATCACTCGACCTCCATTAAGCCTCTACTCTAACTGGTAGGCAGAGTAGTTTTTGGTTTCCACAGATTAATATCAGGTCAGAGCCATTGTGTAGCAATCCCTGAAAAATCTGATTATTTCTCTTCCCCCAATACACAGTTACCCTGGTAGATGGCTATTGGTCCCTTTGCGAGAAATAACAATGTAGAATTTTTGGCAATGTAACAGTCCTTCCTCAAGAGGATCCAGTCTCTCCTTCATTCAGAGTTCTGAGAGTATAAACTGGATCAAGTCTAGGAACTGATTGAGGGGTTGTGACTCTCGTGTTTTGGTGATGCAAGTTAGGATATCTGTTTCCTAGGTGTAGAACTCTTCCACTTATACAGATCAGTAAGAATGTAGTAGATTGACTATTTTCTAGGGACACAAGGTTAACTGGCCAACAGCACAGGTCTCTGTAAGTAATACTGTTTTAGCTTTGCTGGCAATTACAGTAATCATGCCCACCTACCTTAAGGCAATTAAGTGCCACCCCAGAGTGGCACTTAGGAATCCCAGTTTGATGGTAGTAGTTTCTACTGTAAGATATATGTGACTTAAGAGTAGCCGCAGATCTCTTCAAGGATGCTAGGGTTCCCCTCACAAATTTATTTCTTAGAGTAGTGGTGAAAAGTATGCCCTCTGGATCCTCCTGGGGTGGGTAAGCAGGTCTTAAATGATAAATCTACTCTAACATTCCAGTCACCCCATGCCTGTGGATACCTTTTTCTACAGATACTAGGCAGTTTTGGCACTTCAACTTCATTTAGCATAGGCCCATCTGGGTGGATGGAGGTTAAGTGATCAATGGAGTTTTCATTCAGATTGTTCTCACGGTGGGCCCAGTGGGTCCCCAAACCTGTCCTGTGTTTATTTTCCGAGTCTGACATGCATAATTGGAAAAGACACACTCAGCAATTAAACACAGCATTAGAGCTTTTTCTAAGCCTCTGAGATAAAACACTGAGTCCAGAATCTCTGGTCGGTTCACATCAATAAATTTGGCCCGGATAGAATTTACAATCTTTCCATTTTGATCCCTGTATGAGTTTCCTGGGGTGGTCATAAAAAAGTACCAGAAACTGAGCGTCTTAAAACAACAAAATTTATTCTCTTGCAGTTTTGGAGGCTAGAAGTCTGAAAGCAGGTTTTTGGCAGGGCCAAGCTTCTTTGGAAGGCACTTTGGAATAATCCTTTTTGGCCTTTTCTTTGGTCTGCTGACTCCTGGCATTCTGTGGCGTTTCCTGGCTTCCAGTTGCATCACTCCCATCTCTGCTTCTTTCTCCACATGGCCTTCTTCCCTCCGGGCCCATTTATCTGTATGTCCTCCTCTAAGGGCACCAACCATTGGTTTTAGGGCTCATCCTATACCAGCTCATTCTATACTAGACCCTCATCTTAACTAATTACATCTGCAAAGCCCCTCTATCCAAATAAGTTAATATTGTAAGGGTCTAGGTGGACATGAATTTTGGGGGACACTATTCAACTCTCTACAATCCCATACCTTAACAGTCTTTGTATATTCTTTCGCATGCTCTGAATTTTTTAGCATGTGTATTTATTACTTTTTCAAGTAAAATTAAAGGAGAAAACTATATCCCTGGAGTTCTCTGCCACGAGATAGAAACATTCTTTCCGTCCAGTTTCTCCCTTGAAGGTCACTACTATTTAGTCTCCCTAAACTGGTCTTCCAAGTCTTGCCCTTCTCCAAACTTTTACCAAACTGCTGTCAAAGTGATTTTTCAAAATGATCTCAAGATCTGTCAATGAGGATTAAACATAAGCTCCATAGTTAGCCTAATATGGCTTCTTCAGGGTCTGGTCTCCAGCACCACTTTTTCAGTTTCTTTCCTTTTTTTTTTTTTTTTGAGATGGAGTCTCACTCTGTCATCCAGGCTGGAGTACAATGGCGCGATCTTGGGTCATTGCAACCTCCGCCTCCTGGGTTCAAGCCATTCTCCTGCCTCAACCTCCCGAGTAGCTGGGACTACAGGCACCCGCCACTGCGCCCGGCTAATTTTTGTATTTTTAGCAGAGACGAGGTTTCGCTATGTTGGCCAGGCTGGTTTCAAACTCCTGACAAGCGATCTGCCCACCTCGGCCTCCCAAAGTGCTGGGATTGCAGGCGTGAGCCACCACGGCCAGCCAGTTTCATCTTTCAGTACAATCCCCTGCTCCCCACCTGCTCCGCCCCGGACTCCTCGCGGGTTTCTGCACTGCCCAGCCGTTCCGTCCCGCCCTGTTCCGGCGCTGCAAGTCCCTTCAGCGACGCTTCCTGCCCGCGACTGCAAGTCAACCTTGGAGGCTGCTTCTCTTCTCCATCCCGGAGATGAAGCACGTCACTCTTGGATGCTTGAAAACGGTTCATATTTTCCCTTTACATTTTGTTCCAAAATGTTTATGTGAAATACTAGGATCCAAGAACACACACTGCTGCGCTTGCTTAACCAGGTCGGGTTGAACCAGTTCACCCTCTCCGCCCCAATCCCGGTGAGGTGACTCCCAGCCCCGGAGCAACCAGCCTGGCCCGACAGCGGAGGCCCAGGCCCGCCGGACTCGGGTGCCGGGACCTTCCCGGCAGGGGATAGCCCGGACAGGCCGCAGCCACGCTTGACAGCTGAGGAAAACCCGCTCCGGCGGAGGGCGACGCTCCGAAGCCGAGAGTGACACCGCAAGGCGCCGGAACGGATCAGCGCCCTTCACACCTAAGACCGGCCTTCCTCCTCCTCACCCAGGACGCTCCCCGCCGCTGCGCTTGTGGTTTCCAGCTCTCAAGCCGTCAGTCTCTCCCCACACAGCTGAACAGGGAAGCAAGCCAGCGGCGCCCGGGGACAGAGCATGCGCAGCAGCCTCAACGCGTGGTCCACCACTCCGCCCCGGCAGCGCAGCCCGCGCACGCGCACGCGCATGCGCCGCGTCCCGGCCTCCCTCCGGCCGCACCTCCACCCGCCAGGTCAGAGGCCGCGGGGCGGGCCTTGGTGACTCGCGCGGAAGCGCCTTGTGGACCCTCGGAAGCCGCCCGGGCAGCAGAGAGGCTGCGCCCACAGCCTGGCACCCCGAAGGCAGGGTCTCGGGACCGTTCCGAGCCGGCTGAACCCCTTCGGCCCCAAGCGGCCGCATGAGTCGGGGGACCATGCCTCAGCCCGGAGCCTGGCCGGGCGCGAGCTGTGCCGAGACACCGGCGCGGGAGGCTGGGGCCGCGGCGCAGGAGGGCGGGAAGGCGGCGGCAGGCGGGCAGCCGCGGTCCGAGATGCGGTTCCCGGCCGAGCAGTGAGTGCAGGGGGCGCGGGTTGGGGGCGGCGGGCTGGGCCCCTCCGGAAGCCGGGCTGGGGTGGGGAGTCGTCACGGAGGGTCCCTGGGCGTCCTCAATTCTGAGTGAGGCCGTCGACGACAAGGAGGGATTGCCAGACAGTTTTGCCCGTGTCCGATTGCATATTTTCCCCCCAGAGCCCCTCACAATTCTCATCACACAGTGCCTCCCCTCCCGTCTCATTTTTGATATCTGCATGTCTGCAAAGTTAAAGTTCCAGAAACTTGGGAAGCAAACCTGAAAGCGATGAGTTTTATTACTAACTCCCACTAGATCTTTCCTCCAGCTTGGCACAGGGAGGAAGTGAGGTCGCCCTGCCGCAGCCGCGGGAGAACGGAGCCACGCGACATGTTCTTGGAGGCGACGTCCCACCTGTTGGATAGACTTTGGACCGAGTCTGACCCATTCTCTTTGACCCTTTAATGGCCTGACTTGTATCCCTTCCCCCTTTTTCTTTTAAAAAAGAGAGTCAGTGCTGGTTAGATCAATTTCTTACTGTACTGTGAAGAAGACGGTTTGGGAAGAATTCATAGTTTCTGCAAGGGTCGGGGGTACACGTGGAAGCAGAATAGAAACTCAGAGTGAAAGTTTTCTGCACTTTCAAGTTCTAGGCACCTATAAATGCTCTTGTAATTTAAGAAATAGTGAAAGCGCTCAACCAGTTTGACAGATCTTTTAATTGGCTGGAAATTTAAATTTAAGATGCGTAAAGCACCGCTAGAACTTTAGGAAAAAAAAAAAATCCTGAAAAGGGGTCCTTTGGAGGCCTGTTAGGTAGATATTGTGTTATAATAACACATTTGCATAGTACTTAGACATTCTCATTTGTTGAGAATCCCCTTGGGATGATGTTATTCACACTTAATGGGATAATGGTCACTGGAAAATAAGATAGAGTTGGTGGTCTCAAACTCCTGCCCCCAGAACTAGGCAGTAAGTGAAGTAAGTTAGTGAAGTTGGCCAGGACCTGGAGAGATTGTCTCTCTGTTGGGAGGCAGGGTCCCCTATGCTCAAGCTAGCTGCTGCATCTTCTGTATTTAAAGAATCCAGCTATTTGGGGTTTTGTATGAAATATGCTACTTTTTAAACAGTGGCACTTTTTTTTTTTTAGTTGAAACCACTGTACACATCCATGTGTGAGTTGATGTGTCCTGTGGCAGCCAGTTTGCTCTCTGGGTTAGAGTCTGTATTAGGCCATTTTTGTGTTGCTATAAACAAGTACCTGAGGCTGGGTAATTTCTAAAGGAAAGGGGTTTAATCAGCTCATGGTTCTGCAGGGTTTACATGAAGCTTGGTGCCTGTATCTGCTTGGCTTCTGGTGAGGCCTCAGGAAGTTTTAATTCATGGCAGAAAGCCAAGTGGGACCAGACAGTCACTTGGCGAGAGAAGGACCGATAGAGAGAGAGAGAGAGAGAGAGAGAGAGAGAGAGGAGAGAGAGAGTAGAGGTAGGGGTGCCACAAAGTTTGAAACAACCACATCTGGTGTGAACTTGGAGTCAGCACTCACCTGTCACCATGGGCATGGCACTAAGCCATTCATGAGGATTCCAAATACCTCCCACCACACTCCACCTACAATACTGGGGTTTATATTTTAACATGAGATTTGGAGGGGACAAATATCCAGACTATCATTCTGCTCCTGGCCCCCCAAATTTCATGTCTTTCTCACATTAGGAAATATAATAATCTCTTTCCAACCATTCCTCAAAGTCTTCACTCATTCTAGCATCAAGTCCAAAGCCCTAAGTCTCATCCAAGACTCAGCTCCTTCCACCTGTCAGCTTGTGAAATCACAGACAGGTTATTTAATTCCACAAATTCCTGGGACGTGGACACAGTGCAGGCAAATTCTTTGCTAGGACATAATGGGTGACCTTTACTCCAGTTCCCAATAACTTCCTCATTTCTATTTGAGACCTCATCAGCCTAGCCTTTAGTGTTCATATTTCTTTTTATTTGTTTTACTTTATTACTATTTTTTATTGAGATGGAGTCTCGCTCTGTCACCCAGGCTGGAGTGCAGTGGCACAATCTTGGCTCACTACAACCTCTGCCTCCCAGGTTCAAGTGATTCTCCTGCCACATCCTCCCGAGTAGCTGGGATTACCGGCATCCACCACCATGCTTGGCTAATTTTTGTTTTTGTTTTAGTAGAGACAGAATTTCACCACGTTGGCCAGGCTGGTTTTGAACTCCTGACCTCAAAGCGATCTGGCTGCCTCAGACTCCCAAAGTGCTAGGATTACAGGTGTAAGCCACTGTGCCTGGCCCACTGTCCATATTTCTATTAGCATTTTGGTCACAACCATTTAACCAGTTTCTAAGACGTTGCAAACTTTCCCTTGATTATCTGTCTTCTGAGCCCTCCAAACTCTTCCAACCTCTGCCCACTACCCAGTTCCAAAGCTGTTTCCACATTTTCAGGTATCTTTATAGCAGTGCTTGACCCCTCAGTACCAATTTTTTGTATTACACTGCTTTTGCACTGCCATAAAAAAATACCTGAGGCTGGGTAATTTATAAAGAAAAGAGATTTAATTGGCTCATAGCTCTGTAGGCTGTACAGGAAGCTTGGTGCGTGTATCTGCTTGGCTTCTGGTGAGGCCTCAGAGAGCTTTTACTCATGGGAGAAAGCCAACCAGGACCATGCCATCACATGGTGAGAGAGGGAGTGAGGTGGGGGTGAGGTGCCACAGACTTTTAAGCAACCAAATCTTGCGTGAACTCAGAACACACTCATCACCAAGGGCGTGGTGCTAAGCCATTCATAAGGGATCTACCCCCATGATCCAATCACCTCCCACTACGCTCACCTCCAACCCTGGGGATTACATTTCAGTATGAGATTGGTAGAGTAGGAGGTGGGGAGAAGTACCCAAATCATATCAGAGACTTAACCTCAGACTCTACAGAAGGTTAAATAGGGGGTCTCTTGTCCCCAGCTCCTGCTCCATGGGCCCATGCTGGTTCCTAATTGCTGCTTTGCCTTCCTCCTGCCCTGGTGGTTAGAATCACGTGCACTTAATTTGATGCCCTGACCCATGTTGCACCTCAACCCCAGCTGTTTCATGCCCCCTGAGCAGGGCAGAAACTTTGAAGCCAGACCATGTTCTCCAAAGTATATGTAGTTATTTGACAAGTTTTCTGGTGGTTGTGATTCTCAGTCTGAACACCTATGAAAACAGACAATGGTAGGAAGAAGTGCTCTTTCTTGAAATGTTTTTGTGGCACAGGTCCCTCTTCTGTCTGCTGCTAGTGGAACTGTATAGACTTAGAGCTGAAAGGAATGCAAAAAAGCTAGCCTAGGTTTGTCATTTTACACATTTGCAGATTTGTTAAGTGTAGCTTGGCTAGAGAGACTCTGATGCATCAGTGGGAACCTCCCTTGTCTCTTCTGTGCTTCCTCAGCAAAACCAGGCAGAGATACATGGTTTATAGTAACAGCCAGCTTCACCTTTTTTTTTCCCCCTTGGTTTGCTTCCCAAGTTTGCCTATTAATAGATGTTCTAGTTTGTGTGTGTGATTTTTTTTAAGCAGCTTAATTTTGTTTTCTCATTTTTTTGTGTGTTTGATTATCTCATTCTCTTTTACCTCTCATAAGATGGGGCAGAATAGGAGAGGTGAGTTTAAGATGTCACCTTTTGAACATCATGTCTTAAATTTTGGACTTTTTAGCCTTTTTCCATCTTTCTGATTTGGCAGTATCTGGGTAGTGGGCTATTTCTCTGTGGTATCTTCATGGGCTAGACAAACTGTACTACAGGTATCATATAAACATAAAGTTTGCAATATAAGATATTTATGTCTATTCTTGCATGATGATATATACAGCTTAATAGTTGAGTATCAATTTAAATAGTGTAATGTCCATTTTTAGTCTGTTTTTTTTTTTTTTTTTGTCATTGGAGCCAAGGCCTTTCTTTCCACCAGATAGTTGGGTTTGCTGTGCAGAGGAATCATTTAAAATGTTTGCACTTAGAAGTGTGAACACCGTAAGACTGTAGAAGTTTTGAGATATCCTACAGAGTCATTTTTAATACATTCAGTGGACAGTAATTACAAATACAAATCATAGCCCAACTTCTGCAGCTGAATTAGACATTCGGGATGTGATTCTGAAGGCTGTGGTGATGGGTAGAGAAAGAGATGGCTTATTTCCTAGGCAGCACAGTAGGTTACTCTGATTCCTTTCCACTAAGCTCATCACATTTCACAAGGGAGAGAAGTGAAGGAAGAGAAACATATAAACCACATGGATAAGCTGCTTTGTTTTTGTTTGTTTGTTTGAGACAGGGTCTCTCTCTGTTGCCCAGTCTGGGGTGCAGTGGCACAATCATGGATCACTATAGCCTCAACTTTTTGGGCTCAAGGGATCCTCCCACCTCAGCCTCCTAAGTAGCTGGGGCAACGGGTGCATGCCACCATACCCAGCTTTTTTTTTTTTTTTCTTTTCTTTTTGTGGAGACAGTCTTTTTGTTGCTCAGCCTAGTCTCAAACTCTTGGGCTCAAGCAATCCTCTTGCCTCAGCCTCCCAAAGTGCTAGGATTATAGGTATGTGAGCCACAGCACCCAATGATAAGCTACTGCGTAATTGCAGTTATTCTTTTCCTCCCTCCTTTTCTATCTCCCTCCCTTCCTTTCTTCCTTTTTCCCATCGCTAATCAGCGCATTTGAGAGATGTGGTTGGCTCACATCTCCTGGACAAGCCCTAAGGATGGCTCAAAACATAACTTAGAGTCACATTTGAGGAGATCTTATGACAGACCAGGTTAGTTGACATTCTTTAAACTCCCTCTGCTGATCTCCTATGCTGTATTCCCTGCTTACTCCACTCCCAACATGTGACTCCTGCTATCTGGTCCTGGGACATGGTTGGTGGCGAGGCCAGAATTTCTTAGGGAATTGGGAAGAGACTACTCCATGGCCCTTCTCTGAGCATGAGACAGGATTTGAATTT